TGAGTGTAGAGAATCGGAGACCTATTTTACTGGGAAAGAGGCATTCTATCTCAGTCCTCACGGCTGACAACGCATCTGCATTTTAATTCGCAAGCAAAGATAGATGTAGATGTCTATGGGCCACAGCAACCACTTACCATCAGGTGGACGGTGTGCTCGATTGTCACTCTAATTGTATAAAAAAAACCTACAGTGCCGGCCGAGGCCTGATGCTATACAGAAATTGGGTGTGCGTGCGTTATTCGAGGTCACTTAGCTCTTGTAGTCGTTTTTACCCTCCGGCCATATACTCGTCAAGTAGCATGGGAAGTAGCAAGGAAAGTAGGTAGAGACGTAGTGTGGCCACAATACTCGTCATGCCGCACGTCATGCTCCTCGTCATGCCCATCCCTCTCTGTTTTGTCGGTTTTTTGGGCGCGAGTGATGTATATGCGCACTGGTACTTCGATAGAACGAGTCAGTAATAAATTAGCTCTCTGGCAGTACGGTTGTTTCATTTAAATCGCATACACTACTCAAAAGACGATATGAGAGGCAATATGAGCGCGAGTGGCTAGCCACATACTTGCGCGAACAGTCCGAATCGAGCGCTCGTTACGGAAGCGTCGTACTATTGTGATGAATAGATGTCATCCACCATCTCTGTTGGCGAGGATGACGACGTATATATTTCTTTTTATGACATTGATATAATTAGCTATAATAACACGCTGCCGCAGTTTCAATATACATTGTGTTGCAAACGCGAGCGAACTAGTGCGGAGCGTCGCGATTAATTGCGCGAGTAGAGCAGTGTGTAACATCGCGGCAGCGCGAGGAGCAGAGCGAGGAGCATAGTGTGGCTGAGCCAGATAAAAAAATTACAATGTAAGATGCCAGCAGCGGACTTTTCCAGGCTGATGAGAAAGAAGTACATCATTAGCTGGCATCTTGCTTATTTGCATGTGAATAAATATACAAAAGCGATTTCAGATTCTTTTGTTAACTTGATTTGGTTACGGTTTTAAATGCTAACGCGTATCGTTGCGCTTAGTTATGAATATTCTACGGTTGTGCTTATCTTGTAACAAAAATTTGAATTTTAATGGGAATTTGTTCAATATTTTAACGGAATGGTTAATTTGGTTTGTTGATTTATAATAGCTCATACGCCTGCTAAGTTCTTAGTTCGAATGCCAACCATAGACAATTTTTAAGAGATTTTGTGCTATACTATTGTCTATGGAATGAAATTAAATGAAACTAAACATATTCATTTATCATTTTATATAATAATATACCAAAGTAAGAAATTAAAATTTCGTTTGCCCAAAGTAGCTTTTTTAAATCTACAATTTTTTCGAAATAAGTTTTCTCGGTTCGGAGAATAAACGGTGAAAGGCTTTCTGGACTTCTTTTTTGGCGTTTTTAGATATTAATTTGAGTTTCTTGCTAATCGATTTTCCATATAGCCTGCGGTACACAAATTAGAAGGGGAGCGAAAATGTGTGTTAACAAAATGTAAAGTCGTTATGTTGACCCTCTACCAGCCTTTTGTTTTTTACATGCCAAAGTTACCGCGCATGGCAGGCGGGTTAGCAACAGCTGTTTTTTTTTTATTATTAAGTTAGGACAACTACGTGATGATATGGGGTACTGGATATTCTCACACCGCTTTAGTTAAATAGTTAAGTCTCGGGTCCTAATACTCGATATATAATCGTGGCTATGCTTATGTCGTACAGACGCTGTAACTGATTTCATTGAAAGATTAAGTAGAAGATGAGATACTTTCATATATAACGCACAGTTAAAATCCAATAGCAAACGGCTAATGTCGAGGTAGTCGAAATCGGTCTGAAAGGTTTCTTTATTAATATTTTTAATCGACTTTAAAAGGAGGTTCTTATTTCGAGTGTGTGTTTGTTTTTGTATGTATGTTACGCGATATCTTCGCAGATCGTTAACCAATTTTGATCATTTTTTTTTATTACATACTTTATACTTTAAAAGTGGTCCCATATAAATTTGGAGAAAAAATTTAACCTTTAGGGGTCGCAAATAAATAACCTCTTTTTTATTAATTTTATCAACAAATAGGTACTAGGTATCATTAAGTATTAGGTGGTGGAAGTGGGAGTGTGAACCAGTCCAACTTCGCTTAAAATACTTGTGCCTAACAGTGAAGTGGTTCACGACAGTAGTCGAATGGCTGATTCGAACCTATGGTCTTACTGTAACAGTCCGTACCATGTGCCAGTAGGCTATTGTTTTTAGTGTTTACTTTTTTTGTTACGTACGCAGACGCAGATATTATGATTCATGTTTTTATATGTGTTATCAACAGAAATAAAAATAACTGTGTTACATTAATGATGCTGGCTCCGTGGCGCAGTGGCTTAGCAATCAGTTGTTGCGCAGGGGGCCGCGGGTTCGAATCCCGCACGGAACAAGTATTTGTATGGCCTACAAACAATTGTTCCAGGTCTGGATGTTTGTCCTTGTGCAATTTATGTTTGTAAACTGCCTCCACGACATAGAAGAAAATCCTAGTGTGGGGGTGATGTTTTTTTAAAAAAAATGCTATTATTTATTCTCTGACTGTGTGCTTAATGGTACGGAAACACTATCGTGGTATAGCAATAATTATGGCCATAATTGAAACAACACCTATGCGTAGCCACGATTAATGGCCATAATTTTACAATGTCAATCAATATGGCATATGACAGGCAACAGCTCCGGTGGCGGTCTTGTTCGCATATCAAAGACGATTACCGCGTTAATTTTTGCGTTAAGTGACCACACTGCAGTATGTTCAGTGTACGACATGAGCTCAATGGAAAAAGACTTGCATATTACGCTTTATGTGCATTTCTATCATCCACCATCTTTTAAGTTTTGGTTTAGCTTTGTTAAAATGTAAAAGATTCATGTAATAGTAACTGACACTCGTACAACACCGCCGCGCCGCAGCTTCAACATGAAATTTTTTCCGCTTATTTCACTGTCATATCTTGGTAAACTTTAGTGTAACCTCACTACTTCACGTAGTCATTTAGGCAGTAATTTAATGCCATAATTATTGCGGTAAACGGTCGGTAGACGTTAAGTTAGTGTGGCTTAAGACTACATGTCACATGATTGCATGTGATTATCAAAGTTTACTCTAATCACGGCTATTTGTTTCTGGTAAAACAATGTTTCTTTTAAGTTTACGCATTTGAGCTGATTTCACGTGTCTGGTACATGATCACATTTTCTACTATGCAGCACCACGTCACACTTGCCGTGGTACTATACAGAGCCGTGGGTAGTTCATGGGCTATGCGCTTGCCGTAGTACGCGAGTAACCCGGGTTCGATCTCTGTCGGCACCAAAAGAATTGTTAATTCCAATTTTAAGTACTGATTTACCACTTGCTCGGCGTTTAGAGATTGTTAATTGACATGCATTGAACTTTTTTTAGGGACATTGTTGTAAAAGCTACATTAGGTACTCCATAAATAAATTTATTAACTGCGTTCTATATTTACAAACTTGTGTTTTTCCTATTATTTACAATATACTTATTTTTTATAAATTTTCTCTGAGGGTCTTTAATAGTTACTGCTCTTGCGAAACAACGATATCTTTAAAGTTTGTTGCATTTTCCCTTAGAATAATTACTAACACATGCTATAATAACAAAAATAAACAAATTTAGACGTTTTAACGTTAGTGTGAGAATTCTAATCTTTCTTACAGTATACGCTACAGAAAAAGAGGGAGCGGAAAAGATTCCTATAGAATCCAAGAACCCCTTACCTTAATACGTATTGGCTTTACATGTATTTTGTAAAACTGTAGTGTTACACACATTTACAGTCCACCTGATGTTCAGTGGCTATTGCAGTACAGTTCAAGGACACCTGCAGCCTACTTCACACAAAAAAGGCTACAGATGCGTTGTCACCTCTGAGGACTAAGGTGGAATGCTTTGCAGACTAATTATACTGCTCTCTATACCGTTCAAACCGGAACGCAGCAGTTCAAGCATTGCTAATGAGGGTATCCTTGACTTTTTCTGCCACCAGAGCGGCGCCACTTAAAAGTGAGGTATATTATTTGACAGATTTCACAGCGGAGAGGTTAATTTGTTCGGAAAATGTAAAGGTTAATGTTTCTTTCTGTACTATTAACTATATTTTATATTAATAAGATTAAAAATAAATAAACCAAATCACAAATATTCATAAAAGTAGAAACATTAAAAAAAAGTTGAAATAGTGCAAAAAATTAAAGAGCAAACCAAGCATGAGGCATTGTTTTGTGTATTAATATAATACTCTAGAAACTGATAAACTTTAAAACTAACCTCTTAATTAAGTGACATTGTGCAACAAAAAACTTTACTTCAGTGTCAAGTAGCGACATCTGGTGAGCAGAAAATTATTAGCCCTCACGAGTGTGATACCTTTTCAGACGAAACCTAGGCAGAAAAGGAGTCCTACCACCTAGATATTCAGCTTTGCTCACGGTGTTTTTTTTTACCACCGAGCAGATCACGTGGTTAATTATCAATTAAAATTTCAACTAACAAATTTATTGGTGCCGGAGGGTTCAAAAGTTTATCCACTACGCTGCTACGGTTTTATATTTTGTTTTTGTCTGTTGCATATAGATATATACTTTAAATATTGACTTTTATTAATAATATACTTTCAATTACACTGGTTTTTTTTTAACTAGCGTCGATTGTGATCCAAGATAATACACGCGTAATTAAAAATATGGCGATAAACCTAGCCACAGTTTAGCTATTTCACGTATAAAAGTTAAAATAATACATTGTATTACATATAAGAAATGCATCAAGATTCGTCCTTGATCCCAGATTTTATATTTTGAGTACCAATCGTTGCATCTGCATAAAAATCTTATCTGATAATATAGACAGTGTGTGCTCTCTTAAATACAAGTACATTGTCAATGCTTATCTTACAGCTGATATACTCAAAGTAAATTCTTTCCATTTTCAGTGACTACGCCACGCACGACAATGGAGAGCGGAGGAACGACTGGCCCTTTGCTGTACGCGGTAGTGGCAGCGGTGTTGGGGATGCTCCAATTCGGTTTCAACACTGGAGTGATCAACGCGCCTAAACAGTTCATCGAGAACTTCATCCGAGACCAATATGAAGTCGCTCCCGACCTCATCTTCGGTGTGATCGTCAGTATCTTCGCTGTTGGTGGTATGATAGGCTGCCCTTTGGCCAGTTGGATTGCCGACAAACGAGGCCGCAAATTTGCGTTATTGGCCAATGCTGTTTTCGGAGTGATAGGTGGCCTTCTAATGGGCTTCAGTAAAGCCGGATCGTCGGTAGGTATGCTTATAGCTGGAAGATTTTTCATCGGTATCAATTGCGGTTTTGCCACAACCGCATCTCCTACCTACGTATCCGAGATAGCACCTTTAAGGCTACGCGGTGCATTCGGCACCGTTAACCAATTGGCAGTCGCGTTTGGTCTCGTGGGCGGACAAATTTTGGGTATCGACGTTATTCTGGGCAGCGACAATGGATGGCCATACCTACTCGGCTTGGCTGTGTTGCTATCAGCAATTCAATGCTTGATGTTACTGTTCATTCCAGAATCCCCAAGATATCTCTTACTTGTACAAAGCGACGAAGAAAAGGCGAGGGAAGTGCTATCAAAACTCCGGGGCACCGGTGATATTGATGAGGAGATCAACGGAATGCACGCAGAAGACAGGGCTGCAAAGGAAGAAGAGAAATTCACTATCGGAGATTTGTTCCGGATCAAAGCTTTGCGAACACCTCTCATTATTGGGGTTGTGCTGCACCTTTCTCAACAGTTGGGCGGTATCAATGCTGTTCTATATTATTCATCAACGATATTTGAAAACGCGGGTCTCACAGTCGAGGATGCTCGATTGGCAACCATCGGTGTTGGAAGCATTCTTTTCATAATGGCCTTGGTTTCCATTCCATTAATGGACCGTCTCGGAAGACGAACTCTACAGCTTTGGGGTCTAGGAGGTATGGCGGTCTCCTCCGTGCTAATGACTGCTGCATTTTTCACGTACAAAGATAACTTCACCATGAGCATTTTCGCTGTTATCTTCACTCTGTTGTATGTCGCATTCTTCGGCGTCGGTCCGAGCTCGATCCCTTGGATAATTCTTTCCGAGCTCTTCGGTCAGGGTGCTAGGAGCGCCGCAGTCAGTGTTGGAGCCGCCGTAAACTGGTTCGCTAACTTTATCGTCGGTCTGGTATTTATTCCTCTAACGAACGTGCTCAATAATCTTGTGTTCTTGCCTTTTACTATACTGTTAATCTTTTTCTACGTGTTCGTTTACTTCAAGTTGCCGGAGACAAAGAACAGGACCGTCGAAGAAGTTACGGCTGAATTTAAAAAGTAGTTTTAATTATTTAGTTGTATAACCACATTCCTTGTAATTTAATACTGCAATAAGTTTACCAATTGTGATAGTTACTGTATTACTTGTGACTGATGACGTGTATTTATTAGGTTGGTATTGCATTGCTACAGTACCGGTCAAAAGTTTTCGATCACTTGTTGAATTTTGGATAGTATACCATTTTGCTAATGAAAATGCGCAATTATCCTATATTACATTCATAATGACTATGTAAATAGTTTTTACACAAAATAAAAACGAGCAATTTTAAGCAAAACATAACGATTTCACCTACTACTAGAGTTGTGATTCGTTTACTGGTCGCATTTTTCTTACATATCTATCTATATGGTCAAGGTTAGTATGTCACTGGTAAAGTTATTATTTTATAAAAATGATCGAAAACTTTTGACCGTTATACATTCTAGCTAGAGGTTAACGTGTTCTTCTTACCTTTACATCACGTTTCGTCATTAACTTACATGTAATAATAGAGCCAGGTTCGGCGTATTATGACTACAGAATGAATAGGTCGGCTCGATTTGGAAAAGACCACGTTCACACAGAATACAGGCGTAAAATAGAAGCTTTGATTCTAAATTGAGGATAAATGCAGGTCCTTATCGACTACAGTAAGTATTAGGTGGGATATGTGCCAGTTTGTCACTCTCACTTCTTAAAATAGCAATCACAACTTGAATGTCTTTCAAACATATTTTTTTTATAAAATCGAAGTGAGAAACAAACTTGATGCTAAGTGGCTACTGCAGCCCGTAGATACCTGCAACTAATTTCGTTATCGTCCCTGTGAACTAAGTCGATCTGTACTTAGACAAGTTGTATTATACTGGCTCTCTATATCCTCAGTCCGGAACACAGCAGTGCACGCACTACTGCATGACAGCAGAATTAAACCAAATAACAATTCATAACTTTGTCTTAAGTGGAAAACTTTCGGCAAAATATGAGAATACGCGAGTTAAAGTAGCGGCACGAAAATCTAGCGGTGACCGTTATTGCGCATAAGTCGAAAATAAGGTATCGTTCGCACGCGCTGATTGGCTCTCCAGTCGCATTCGTGCAATTCAATTCGAAATCGTTCGCGACAGTACCCATGCGCAGCTATACCCTCCACGTTTCGTTCAGCGCTAGACTTACATGCCGCGACTTGTACGAATAGTGATGTAAAGAGCCGCCCTTGCCGCATTGGGTACATGACCTAGTTGAAGTGTAATCATGATTGTACATAAGTGAACCAGATAAAGAAGACCTTTCATACGAGTTTTGATTTTAAACCGAAAAGTGAGCGTATGTGATTTAAATATAACTTTGTTGAAATCGCATAAATTTAGCAAGACTGACACCTTATTTACTATATACTACACGTTATTTTAAAGTACTTATTCCATTAAATTTAACAAAATACCTTTTATTTATAAGTGCAAATTTAAATGTATGCAGCTGTTGTAACAGAGATAGGTAAAATAACAAATCATATTTAAATGTATATCTCTATCTATAGTCTATACTTTTAGATATATATTTTATAAATTCACTTTGTTTTGATTACGTATTTTTCGTATATTATAACACGTGCAATTATTCTTGATCAGGGGTTTGAGGACCAATTTTTTCTTTTATATCATTTTAACACTATGATTTTTGTATTTATATTATTTTTAATCTGTTAATATTTTTAGTTACTTTATATAACCCAATAGTGCCTTATAATCATTTACATATTTCATGACATTTTAATTTAATGTATTTCTAAAAGTGTTCCAGTGTCAAACGACATATAATAATGTTAAATGTTGGTATCTATTTATTGGCTATAATTTCCTAACTTTAAATACGTAGATCACTTGACCGTCCTAGTGTACTTTAGTGCCAACTTTAATTCGTTAGATTATGAGCGATCTATATGTTTAAAAAAATCACCATTTAATACAGAGGCACATTATAAATGCAACTTTGTGTTAAGGAAAAAAATATTATGTATTATTAATATTAATGGGTTTTTAATATTTTATCATGCACTTTAAATATCAAAAATATATTAAGTCTATGTGTTACTCTATGGTTATTCAACATGTTAGGGCTTTAGGGCAGATTTTTCAATCTGATGGATGTTATCCATCAAATAAATTATAACATAACTTTATATAAAAGTAAAGCAATTGAAGTATTTTATTCACATTCTCTATCAATTTAAGTCAAAGTGACTGCGACATCTTATTAGTAGTTTGAGTATTTTACCATTAATGACAAAAATGATAAAAATGTTATGAATTAAAAGTATAGGTAAAACGTAGGGATTATATAATCACTCTTTGATCATTGGTATAGGTATGATCAATGCATTTTTTCTACCGACTTAAAAAAGGAGGAGGTAGTACTCAATTCGACTATATGTTTTTTATGCGTGTTACCTCATAACTTTTTTCTGGATGAACCGATTTCGATGATCTATTTTTTATTTGAAAGCTGGCGCTTCTCATGTGGTCCCATATAATTTCAATTCAATTTCAATTTCATGGTCATGATCAAGGTCTGACCAATAGTGTTTGAGTTATCTTTAATAATATATATTGAAGCCGGTTGTACAAATTTTTTAATTTGACCGCTTGTATTAGATATTTTTTTATTAGTAATAATATATATTAAAGGCAAGTTCTACCATCGTAATTCAATTTGATATATCACCGTATGCACGTTACACATATAAAGATTATTTAAAATAAATATGGTAATTTGAGAAAGCTATATCGTGTAAATAACGTCACGGCTGTAATCCCCGAGGGAGTAGACAGAGACCAAAGAGCAGTAAGCTACTCGGACTTTCTTTTTTAGCCAAAAAATGGGTTTATTGTGATCCTGCTTACAACTATAGCCCACACCCTAAACACTCATAAATGCAATATCACATTGGGCGCTTTTTATGACATGCTAATTAAATAACATACTTGGCACCCGTTGAAATATATTTAAAAAATGATATATTCTCTTTGTTGTAGAAAATTTGTAAATATATAAATTCAAAATGTTTATTTACATTATGTCGCGTTTTACAAATGTTGTTAATAATGTTAATGCAAATATGTATTGTTTTTTAATTGCACAATATGTCAGTAGCTTTGATTTATAAAAAAATTACAAGTGTTTATGCTTAGTTTTGATGTATAGCACGATATCCACCGATATGTATATGTACTACGTACTAGATTTCGCATTCCGAACATACACTATGTTCAACTGAACTGTACTGCATATAGTGTGGTGTCAATCTACTAGTTAGTCTGTGGTTTCAATATTCATGCAGTGTGGAGCGTCGCTAATAATACAAGATTTCAAATTAAAAACTGACCGCGCAGACGCAACGCGCTTAAATCAACTATGTATGTGGACGCGAAGACATAGAGTAGTCCACATTTTTTGTTTAGAATGACTTCTATAGTACGTAGTACATATAACTCAATGACGATATCTTTGAAGTTAATTATTAACAGTAAAAAATATAGATGTGTTTTTTAATCTAAAGAGTATACTTTCATAGTAGTTTTCAAAAAATTAAACCATTTCCGAGGCTTATTGTATTAGGTTTAAAATTCTTATAAATAATCCAATTATTCGAATTAAAATAGGATTCAATTCCAATTTTCTACCGACGACATATTACATTCCATTAGATTTGCGTTCTGGTTTTTGCTTGAAATGTACGCATCGCTTCTCATTCTTTTTTGGTCTAAGATTATATTGTGGAACTTCAAATATACAAGAAATGTATAAAATGTTTATAGGTTAATCTCATTTGTCAGAGTATTTTCATATATTTTTCCACTAAATGTTTGTTTCTTTTATTGTTATAGTTAACGTTTCTGTTAAATTATGTATCAGAATTACTGGCGCGTGCACTATAATCCTGTCCTGCGCATGTGGCTAGTCTCAGTTTAGAATGGTCGTCTTGACCGAAATGCGGTCTGGAGTAAATTATTATTTATTATTTATATTGCTTGCCTGTCTTATGACAGTAAAAGGTAACATTATATTTATTCAACGTGTTGTAATCATTTTGTACTAAATCGTGTTTTTTTTAAGTGGTTGTAAATATTTTAAGGAGTATTATTGTATTTTATAACTTATAAAACAAAAAAAAAAATACGAATTTAAGACACCTGTTAGTATTAAAATACTATTTGGAATTTGTGGCGTTTACTTTTTGTAGCATGATTATTTAGGAAGGAAAGGAGGAGCCGTATAAGTAAGGCTTTTCTTTACTTTCTTGTGCTCGCGTACTGTGAAATTTAGTGAGCGGTTAGTCCCTGAGCTACCAAGACTGACCATGACAACTATGCAACCATGAAAACTATCAATACTTAACTTATAAATATCACCACCCTGTAATCCTTATGGACATATTAAGACCATGATATGGCTGCAGAACGTATTCATCAGCTAGAAAAGGAAAGAACCTCGTTTGGATAGAATACCGGCGTGATATGAAAACATAAAACTTTTGTGTTTCATATAGGTAGTGGCGTGACGAGAGCCGGATATTTTTTTTACTGGTAAGATGTGACAACGCATCTGCATTTTGATTCCAAGTCGGAGATAGCAGTAGTCGTTTATGGGTCACCGCATCCACTCAGGTTATCACTTTTCTATTTATCAAAATATTCACACTATATTTTAAACGCGGTCTCGATACGCCAACTTCCATGGTTGTCACTTTTGAGAGAATATGGTTGCCACTTCAGTTTGTAGACTGAAGTGGCAATGGGCTTGTTGACTTGTATACGTGGTAGAGCTGCAGCTATATTAGTAGTATAGTTGTAGCACGAATGGGTCGACTCGACCGGGGAAGAACCACGCTCTCACAGAATACTAGCGTAAAATAGCAGCGTAACACTGCAGCGTTTCGTATGGGGAGTGTAGAGTACCGGAGACCCTTTTTACTGGAAAAGAGGCATTTAGTGTACAGTTTCATGGTCACTTGGAAGGGAAGGCCAAATTGTCCTCTGAAAAGCTTGGCGTGCTCAGCAGAGCGAGACTGTATTTCATGCCGGCACATCGCTTGCAACTTTACAAAGCGCAAGTTCGGCCTCACATGGAATACTGTTCTCATCTCTGGGCCGGGGCACCTCAGTCTAGCTCCTTCCACTTGACCACATCCAGAGCAGAGCGGACTAGGAGTTTTCTTCCTCCTAAAACATCTCTGTGGAATTGTTTACCACCGGCGATTTTTCCGGACCGATACGACTTGGGACCTTCAAGAAAAGAGCTTACACCTTTCTAAAAAGCCGGCAACGCATCTGCAATTCCCCTGGTGTTGCGGTTGTTCATGGGCGGCGGTAGTCACTTACCATCAGATGAGCCGCATGCTCGTTTGCCCCCTCTAGAGATGATATATATGTCTATGGGTCACAGCAACCACTTACCATCAGGTGGACTGTGCTCGTTTGTCACCCTATACCATAAAATTAATAATTTTCATTTAATCATTTACAACTTGTGTTAATTAACCTATTAAACATAATTAATTAAAGCCTTTAGATATTGGATTTTAGTTAACGAAGTAATAAAGATATTAATGAGATGATAAATTTATTTGTTTTTTAACATCGTGCAGTGGTAGGTAATTTTTTTTTTACAAAACATGGTAACACTGCAGGTCTAAACTGCATAAATTTTTAATGTTTTATGTATAAATTTAAATAGTCTAAAATACTATTAAACAAAACACTTGAGAGTTTTTAATTTACTGTTACATTAGTTTTATAAGTAATTATGTTTGATCATCTCCGCAGAGCTTTGCGAATAGCTGAAGTGCTTCATCCTGTTCCTCTTCTTCCACTTCGCCTTCTAACCAGAAGGTTTCCATCATGCCTTTGCCCTGAGAAATAAAATTATTAAATTAATTTTATCTATATGCATAAATTTGCATAAAATAAAGTAAATAAAAAAAAGAAATAACAGCGGTTTCATGGCGGTTCTTCTCATATTACAAAGTTTTATTAAATTGAATAAAAAGTTTAGTTTAGACTTTCATTTTGACGTTGAAACGCTAACATCTCTCTCTTTAAATACTTGGTATGTTCTGCAACCTACACATGAAAAGGCTTTATTGCCACCACTTGGGTGATGGGTAGAGAGTTCGAATCCATGCCGGAACAAAAATTTTTCTATAAAAACAAATAGTTAACTTATATGTTCTCATTGTTTCCGGATTATAATTGTATTGCGTCATAGTCTACCAAAATCTTTTCGAATGAGCATTACAAGCTATTATAGGACGAGGAGTATCGTCACAGAAGTCCTAGATATCTATAGTAGTTCATAGTAGCCCTAGATTTGTAACCTGGCTTAGATATTTAGGTAATATTCATGGATCAAGGTATTGCACTGGCACTTGGGGAGCGTCAGTGTTAGTGGAAGCACCCCTTGACACCCGCTCGATAATGTCGGTCGGACATTACTATAATCTGATCGTAGGTCCTGTCAATCGTTGGATCCAGAACGTTGAAAAAATGTAATTTTGCAATCATCAATACTTTGATGCGACTCGGGTTAAATGAACGAATCATTCCCGATTGACACATGTCTATTTTGCATCATTTTCCATATTGGCCCGTAAAAGTATTTTATTATGTTGATTAGTTATCAAAATGATGCTGCTGCCCAACTCCTGTTTAATATTTCTCTTGACTCTGAGTCTGACATCTACGGGATGATATGTGATGGATTGTCTTACGCCACCATAACATGGTGGCTAGGTAACTCTAACTAAGCCATTATCGGCCACAGTCTTCACGGACTAATGTACTCTTGCGCGCCGCTTTTAATACATGGTGTCACTAGTTACCACTAGCACCCTCTAGTATCGAGTAGCAGAACTAGGAGAGTCAAGAATATTCTAGAAATTTTCATGGAATAACTTTCTAGAACTATCGACACTTAGTCAATCGGGACCGATATGTACTCGAACATTCTAGAAGTTTCTACAGAAGAAGGTTCTGGAAACTACCTGAGGCTATGTAAGGCCGGTGTAGACTGCGACAGAGTCAGTATTGAATTGGCCATACAAGCGAATACCTCGAAGCGATACAACTGCGAACGAAAGTGATCGGTAGTACAATAGTGTTTTATTATTAGTGTGGTTTTAAGTTTTAATTAGTGTTCTGTAATTAAACTATCAATTTTGGTAATTTAATCGGCAGTTTTTAGTTGTCTCGAAACCCAAGCTCGTAACAGTACCTTAACTTTGATTAGTCCTCTTCGTCTGAGTCTAAATCTGCCAGCGGGAAGTTCTGCTGCTGTTTGAGCGGATATTTGTATACGCCCTGGCTGAAAAACAAATGTTTTTATGTTAATTATATATACGTGGTAGAGTCAAGCTGCATCTGTGTTATGGCTGCAGCACGAACGGGTCGGCTCGACTGGGTATGTCCTCATTCGTATAGACTACCAGCGTAAAATAGCAGCACAATGCTGATGTAGTGTCGAGGACAGGAGATCCTGTTTACTGGTAACGAGACACTACATCTTAGTTCTCCGGTGAGACGATGCATTTGCATTATGATTCTTAATAGAAAAATACCCCCATACCAAGCCCCCATATTTCACAGACTCTTAATGGGAGCACCATTACGAGTGCGAGGGTATAATCACCAATGTTACGCCAAGCGTGGTGAATATTGATAAACCTTCTGAGGCGCGTTTCTGTTTGTCCAACAGTGGACATATAGAAGACTGATGATTACAACATTAAAGGGCGCTTTTAGGGAACCTTTTCTATTTACGACATTCAGGTCAGGTATTCAGTAGTCAATCATTGGGAATTAAAAAAATGCCGAATTATTAACCTGTAAATTTGATTTGTTGTCGTTGATAATGGGTGATCTATTGTATACCTGATGGTTTGGGGGTACCAAAACTTTACAAGTGATATTAGCCCTGAGGATCACTATAGAATGCCTGACTATTCACTACATCATAAATTCACTGCTGCATATAGGTCTCCCCCATAGATCGCCACAAAGTACGATTCTGAACCATATAAATTCATTGAATACCTGCATGTTTAATCACGTCGTCACGCCGGCTCTTCAAGCTTTGATTTAAATGATGACTGATGAAACTCGTTACCTTTATTATTATTTTATCTACCGACTCATAAGTTTTTACTGGGTGAACCGATTTCGATGATTCTTTTTTTATTTTAAAGCTGGTGCTTCACATGTGGTCCCATATATTAAGTTCTGACCAATAGTTTTTGCGTTATTATTAATAATTTATATTGAAGTCGGTTGTACAAAATATTTTTTCTTTATTGCACCAAATATTTGTACAAAAGGCGAGCTTAATGCTACATGGCATTCTCTATCTAGAGTCCGTCTATCATCACCACCACTACCCTCTTACCTATTCCTGCCGCAAAATAGCAGTGTTTGCACTACTGTGTTTCGTCCTGCAGGGTATAAAGAGTCAGTATAAATACAAACTGTGAGGCATTCCATCTTGGTACGTAGAGGTTACAACGTATCTGTTGCCTTCTTTGTTGGCTACAGGTGTCCATGATGAGCAGAAGCTACTTAAAATCAGGTGGACTGTTAGTTCGTTTGTCATGTCAGTTTCCTGCCGCCTTCAAAAAGGAAGATGTACTCAATTCGATTGTATTTTTTTATGTGTATTACCTCATAACTTTTTTCTAGGTGAACCGATTTCGATGATTCTTTTTTATTTGACAGCTGGTGCGTATCATGTGGTCCCATATTAATTTGATCTCTAGTTCCTCGTCTGACTCGCAGTTTTTGAGTTATCTTTAATAATTTATGTTGAAGTCGGTTGTACATTTTTTATTTTACCACTTGTATAAAAAAATAAATGTGCCCGGCCTATTGCAACTTCAACCTAATTTCTGGTATATTATGACAATTACTCTTCTTGTCCCGCAGACTTTCTCTATTTTATCACGCTCAGAAACTCTGAGCATAGCCCTATCCGTTGCGCGCTGATTGACTTTGAGCTTCCTCATTTGACCAACACCAGCATTGAAAATTGTCACTGACAACACGTACTGGTTTTTTCACAAAACCTCCGCGGGAGATCCTTCGCACTATGTCAAGGACGCCTTATATCCTGTAATACGAAAGTTACCTCGGACGTAGTTTGCATCCGACTGGCAGTGTTCACTGTATCCC